AGATTAATCAAAGATATATTGGTTTTGTACTATGAAATTTTTATCCACTCTACTTTCATGTGTATTATTTGATGCAGTTCGGTTAAGAGGGAGACACTTAAGCTGATCGAGACATTCTTGGATAAGGCTGAAGACCAACCCCAAATTGGAAAACAATTTGTGCCACCAATGATGGATCCTGTTCTTGGAGATTATGCCAGGAATGTTCCTGATGCAAGGGAATCGGAGGTTTTGTCACTTTTTGCCACAATTGTGAACAAGTATGCTTCTGTCTTTTTCTTTTTGTTTCCTTTATTTATATTGATTGGTCTACGATGATTTATAATCCAATTTCTGTATGTATATGTTGGGTTACATCCTGAGGGTATACTGTAGAGTGGTGATTTCATTGCTATTTTAATTATGAACAGAATGTCTCATTCATGTATGAAAAAAACAGTATATCTCATTCATCTCTATCTCATCCAGGTATAAAGCTGCAATGATAGAAGATGTACCTCGCATATTTGAAGCTGTTTTTCAGTGCACACTTGAGGTAACCATGTAGGATATTCAGCTGTGATGGGAATGTACTAGTTTATTATTATCTGTGATTGAGCCCCTGGTGGTGGTTGGTTTTATATGCATTATGTAGAGGAACTGCAAATGATGCATCAAATAACTTGTAATTTCTAACGACTGTGTAATGACTAATGACAAATAATTATTGTACATCTGCAGATAAGTATCCTCTTAACTGTATTTTTTTATTCTGTTTCACAGATGATTACAAAAAATTTTGAAGACTACCCAGAGCATCGGCTCAAGTTCTTCTCTCTACTCCGTGCCATAGCTACTCATTGTTTTCCTGCATTAATCTGCTTGTCAAGTCAGGTTGTGTTTTTTGCCCCGTTCTGGTTGCAATAAATCAAATGTCATGTCTGTTTTTTTTTTTTTTTGTTTTATCTGTTGTTGACTATGATCATGTTGTCAAAATTTGAAATACTCTAGTCTGTGCCTCATGTTATTTGTGATCTATGCCAGCAATTGAAGCTTGTTATGGACTCAATCATATGGGCATTTCGTCATACAGAAAGAAATATAGCTGAAACTGGGCTGAACCTGTTGTTGGAGATGCTGAAAAAGTTTCAGGTGTGGTCTTCATAAATTATTTTGTTTACAACTCGCCCCTAACCTTCTTAGGTTCTTTCTGCATACTTAATTTTCTTAGTTTATTGTAAATTTCCTGATTTAGAAGGATTTCTTACAAAACCTTGTTTCACTTTCTGTATCTTTTTTTTTTTTTTTCCATCCACACAAAGACTAATTTTGTTCTGGTTCTTACCGTGCTAATGCATATACCTTCCAAATATTTTGGTTGAATGTCTGTTTATAACAGGGTTCAGAGTTCTGTAATCAGTTTTATCGGTCATACTTTTTGACAATTGAACAAGAGATATTCGCTGTCTTAACTGACACTTTTCATAAGCCTGGGTTCAAATTACATGTCTTGGTGCTTCAGCATTTGTTCTGTTTGGTACGGTATCAATATCCTGCTTTATTTATTTATTTTTTGTTTTACTAGTTAGTAAGAAATAATGAAAATAACAAGTTTGATCTTTTTCAGCTGGAAACTGGTGTCCTAACTGAGCCTCTTTGGGATGTTGCTACAAGTCCATATTCATACTCAAGTAATGCAGTGTTTGTACGTGAGTTTACCATAAAACTTCTAAGCACTTCATTTCCCAACATGACAGCATCAGAGGTAATTGGAGTGACATAAATAATATTTGTTCCCTTCCTTGAACAAGATACTAATTTCAAGAAATTTGCAGGTTACCCAATTTGTTAATGGACTCTTTGAGTCCACCAATGATCTCTCAACGTTTAAAAATCACATAAGAGATTTTCTTATTCAGTCAAAAGAATTTTCAGCTCAGGTATTGCTTTATTTAGTGTCACTGCTTACATTGTGCTATTAATAGGGGTTTTCCGTTGACTGATTACAAGAATCGGGGAACTGATTACCTGCTATTTTACTAGCTTATTAGTGAAATTGATGTTTTTTGGTTTGCTTTAATGCACTTTAAATTATTAATTAGACTTGCTACTTACCCTCATTAAAAATGTATTGTGGTGGTATTGACACTGAGATTATATTTTTACCTGTAATTACAAATCCGAGGCTTATCAATTGTGCTTCTCTACTGCAGGATAACAAAGATCTATATGCTGAAGAGGCTGCAGCTCAGAGAGAGAGAGAACGACAAAGAATGCTTTCTATTCCAGGGCTTATTGCCCCAAGTGAGTTGCAAGATGAAATGGTGGACTCATAGATAGGGTGAACAGTGGGAATTAATAGTAATACAGTGTTTCACAGGCTTCGATTCAATCCATTGCCATATATTTTGAAGAGATGCAGCGTTTTCCTCTTCCCAATATTTAAAAGTTGGGAGTGGCTTGGCAAGGGTTCCTGATTTCAGAGTTTTCGCTGACCGGGGACACTGCTGCCTTGTCCATTGGGTGAGTGTAGATTATTCAATTACTAATTGGGGATCATTTTGTAAGGGATTCATGAAGACATCTTTATATAGAATCGCAGGATGGAAGAAGACTCATTCCGAGTATTGATGACTCCTTAGGTGTAACCTCCTAACCTCAGGCGGTTGGTTTGTGCAGAAAACCCTTGTGGTTTGATATTTTGTATTTTTTTCCTCACCAATTAATTTTTAGGGATATTGATGTACCATGAGTGCATTTAATATATGGTTTCATGAATTAGTGTGTTATATAATGTGCTCCATTTTCCTCGTAAGAGAGAAGATATTTTTTATACTACTATTGCCTCTCAGTTGTTTTACATTGTTGAAGTAGCAAGAAATTATAGTATGAGAAGATAATCAATTAGAAATTTAGTCAGGCAAGGTGAGAAACTAAGGTCTGAGTAAGGAATCGGAGTGGGAAAAAGCTCCTCTTATAAGTAGTCGGTTGGGATCATGAATAAATATTGGATTGTGTTTATATTTTGTTGTGGAATACTCGTTAAATAATTTTTACGGTCTCTAATTTCAAGATGTTCTATGAGAATAAGTATTCAAGATTTGACGGATTCTAGTGTGGGATGGTAGATGAATATCTCACTGTGGAAGATCAATTTTTAATAATTCGATATATTAATTTTAAATAAATGGTCAGTTTTTTCATTATTTTTTTATTTGTATTTTTTTTTTCACGTTCCCACTATGTTCCTGAATCCGTAATGTTTCTCCTCTCCCTCCACCTACTTGTCACCTTCTTCCTCTTCACCATGGCTTCTACTTTCTGATTTTTAACAAATTCCTTTTCCTCTCCATTTCTAGCAAGCACATCACTGATCACCACAAGGATATCGAACTGCACCTCACCACTCAGATGATATTGCTCTTTATAAATCCTCGATGTTCTGCGATAATATGGTTGGGAAAAGAAAAGGGGGAAGAAGAGAAGGAAAGGAAAGAGAGTAGAGGAAGTGGTTATATTGGAAGTTGCCTCTAACGGAGGAGTTCTCGATTTTTCCTCATAATTTTTGGAGGTCCTTTCTCTTTCATTGTTCTATGCGTATTTTAGTTGCAAGGTTTGAGTATTGTGTTTTCTATGGGGAGGAATTTAGAGGAGAGGTATTCTTTTGTGTTTTCTGTGATGAATGCTTTTGATTATAGGTGTATGATAGTGATTCACAATTTTCATAGAATTGACTTCTGTTTTTGATTATTACTTTGTTATTTTTAATCATGTGATTGAAGCAAGATTGACACAGAACAAATGAACAAAGAGTTGCAGGAGAGATGAGGTGGGATAGAAGGGCATATTGGGAAAAAGAAGAAAAAAATAAATAAAGAAGATTTCTAATCATTTTGAAAGAGATCCGCTCCTCACTTTCTTTGTAGATTTTGCTCCATGGTTGCGCTATGTCTCAGCTCCATTGTCACTCTTTGTTAATCACGTATTTGTTATTTACAAGTTTCAAATCCAATATCTTGTTTAGAGGTACTGAATTCAAATATCACTCGAATTAATAATTTAATATTATACTTATCATTAAATTATACAAGAAATGTGAAAATATTATTGTATACCAAAGTTTATACTCCAAAGTCCAAAGTCAATAATCATTGATAAATGTTAATTAAGGAACTTAAAGAGATGAAAAATAATATTTATTTATCAAATTCTCTTCAGCATCAAGAAGCATATCTATTTAAGGGAAATGCCAATAATACTATCTTCACATATTTTAGTGAAGCATACAACTAAATTAAGAAAAAAAGATTCATTAAATAATATACAATACCAACAAATTTTGTAATTTTTAATTAATTTTAGTCAATAATAAAGTGTTTGTAAATGAATGTTAGAAAAAACATTGCTAGTATTTTTTATATTTTTTTAATAGGAGTAAAAGATAAAAAAAAAAAAAAAATTTAATATTTTATGCCTTTATATAAATTATAAAATATCTTATAAAAAGAATTGTCATTTCTTTTTTAATTGTGTCATATGATTAAAATGAAAAAAATATTTATAAAACAACATTAAACATTATTAGCCATTTTAATAAGCTCGTAGTATTATTAATTACTTTTAAATATCATTTAATACTTCAATTGGCACTCTTAACTGCCTGTTAATAATTACATTTATATACTCTCATCCAATTATGATTAAAAAAAATATAATTGCACATGTAAATAATGACATGGGGTATGAAACAATTGATAAAAATAAATAATAAATACATAATATTAATAATTGTATAAAATTACTTTCATATTCAAAAAAATTATCATGTGGTAATTTTTTCCTATTAATTATCACGTGGAAGTTAATTTGTAGCAGTTAAGCATAACATTTTTTTTTTGATAGAGAAGAATATATTCCTGCTATATTTTTTTTTTAATATTCTTTAACATTGCAGAAAAATGTTTATTGTTGACACTTGACACAGGCGAATAATTTTGTTCGAGATAAGTGTATATAATAAAGTAAAAACGAAAAGATGAAGATTCTTATTTTTTTATTATTTATATTTGTGTTATTGAGGTGTTGTGAAATTGTTGTCCAAAATCAAAACTCGAAGCTGGGGGAAGGCAACGCAATCGAATTCCCTTCCCTTTCAATTCCAATTTCAATCTCGATTTGATTTGATTTGTTTTGGTTTGATCGCACACACAGAGGCATGGGTCAAACTTTTCGGAAGCTCTTCGATACCTTCTTCGGCAATACCGAGATGCGGGTCTCTTCTTTCTCCATTTCCTTTTAATAATCATGAATCAATGTCATTCTTGCCTAATACCGTGATTTTTTGCCTGATTTCAAACCGTTTGCTGATCAATAAAGGATGATGATGCAATTCTTAATCTTTATTATGGCTTTAGGTTGTGATGCTTGGTCTTGATGCTGCTGGCAAAACAACTATACTGTATAAGCTCCACATTGGAGAAGTTTTATCTACTGTTCCTACAATTGGTGGGTTTTATCCTATGAACTCATAATTTAATTGTTATTTTCATGTTCAATTTTAGACAGGTTTCTTGGCATAAGCTAATTAAGCCATTTCTGTGGTGCTAGCAAAAGGATGTTAAGCATGTGCTTGTCAATTATTTACTTAGTATGTAGGTGTTTTGCTTCCGCGTTGACAGTGTGAAGTAATGGAAATCTTTTATTAATGGAACTGGATTCAGTTAGAACCAAAAATAATATATATATATATATATATATATATATATATATATATATATATATATATATATATGTATATGTATATATATATATATGTATATGTTGTTTGTTTAAGGCTTATAAATTTATAGCGTTTTGCAGGTTTTAATGTGGAGAAAGTTCAGTATAAGAATGTTGTTTTCACTGTTTGGGATGTCGGAGGGCAAGAGAAATTAAGGGCACTTTGGAGGCACTATTTTAACAACACTGATGGTTTGGTGAGAATTAGTTTCCATGATTTTATGTGTTTTATCTTAATGAAAACACAACTTATGCAATTTGGTATCTTGTGAAATTTATCTTCTGTTACAATCATTGATCTATCCAATAGAACTGAAAAGAGAGGATACACGTCTATAGTTGCCGGGTTGATACGTATGTGCATATTTATGCAGATATATGTTGTTGATAGTCTGGACCGCGAAAGGATAGGGAAAGCAAAGCAGGAATTTCAGGTGGTAAAATCTAAACATGCACACATACACCATATTTTTCCAAACAGATTTTGAATAGATCTATGGATTACTTGCAGACAATCATAAATGATCCATTTATGCTCCACAGTGTCATCTTGGTGTTTGCCAACAAACAGGACCTGGTATGTGAATTGATTTACATTGTTTACCGAGTATACTACAAGAGTTAGTAGTGTGGTATAATTAATGCATGTAGCAGTACCAAACAGTGCAGGTAAGTTTTATGTTACAAAAATCATTGAAATGGTAAAAATATTTGAAAATTAGTTAAAAGGTTTAAAATTTTCCCGTCAATAGGCCACTGTCCAAAGGAATCAATTGCAGTAGAAAATATTTGTTATTTACAAGCTACTCGCTGACAACAACCTTCACTATTTTTATATGTAACCATTATTAGATGCATGACATATCTAACAGAAACAGTGTGTGGCAAACTTACTCACTTTCCACCATATGAGAATTATCAACCAACTTGGGAAAGCTAGATAAATTTATACCTACAGAAAAAAAGTAAAGCATTTGTTGAGTGCTTGTTCCCATCATTGGTCCAACTGAGCTACACAAACTTATGATAATAAAATGTCATTGTATATTTAGAAAACACCTTGCATGGAGGGTAGACTCTTGCAAAAAAAAAGTTCAAAGTATATTTTCCATAAGTTATTAGAATTTAGTGCCAAACTAGTTAACTAGGAGCTAGTTGACTTTGTGTCTGTTGTCTAAGTTGGAAAGAAGATATAAAACTTTGGGCTGTTTGACCCAATTTTTCGATGGCTTAAAAGCTTTAAAATTAAAGCCCAAAATAAGATTTTTAAAATAAACTAGAAGTTGTTTGTCCTTTTTAGCTTAAATGCTCCTTCAAAACCAAAAGTTTTGTTTCTTTGTCACACATCAATTAGTTCCGGATGAGAGGGAGATAGGCTAAGGTGTGCGACTATTTTTAAAGCTATAATTTATCCTTTGTTTCACATCCTTCACTTAGACATTTTTTAACAGTTACCCCCACCCCCACCCCCTCCCTTTTCTTTATAAAAAAAATAAGCTCTTTATATTTTTAAGAACTTCTCCTAATGTGTTTGGTCCAACTTCTTTTAGAGAGAAGAAAAACTAGAAAAAGATTAGGCCAAACACTACCATAGAGTATTACAACCTCTGTAATTTCAAATCTCAAGGAAGGTTACTGTAATTTCTTAATTTTTTTTAAAATTCAGAGTGCTGAGGAAAAGGAACAAAAAAAAAAAAGTTTGGCTGAACAAATATCTTTTTCTATTTTCTGGGTAATATTTTCTATCAATAATTTTTTGTTTCCTTCTTGTTCATGATTCCACATGACCATAAAAATAAATGTGTGATCAAGTTACTTCAAGACTCAATAACTCATTGTATACATTGAATTTTAATGATCCAACCTTTACATTACTGCATAAAAGCATGACTGCATAGGTTCCATTCCCAATAGGTATTTAGTTTCATGAAATGGTACTTCTCTATCTTGCAAAAATAACCCGCACTCTATGATTATCAATATTCTGTAATACTGGCTGCTGGCAGGCCATTCATCAAGTCTTATTCTATTCTTTTCTTTTCCTCTCCTCCAAAGTTATTCTCAAGTGTAGTTATAATGGTGAGTATTTTCCTTTTCTTTTCCAGAGAGGAGCAATGTCACCAAGGGAAGTATGTGAAGGATTAGGTCTCTTTGATCTCAAGAATAGAAAGTGGCACATACAAGGCACTTGTGCTCTTCGGGGAGATGGCCTTTATGAGGGCTTGGATTGGTTGTCCACAACTCTGAAGGAGAGAAAAGCTGCCGGCTACTCTTCAATAGGACTAGGAACTTCATCCTTCTAATTTTCAAGGTTTGAATTATCGTCTTATTCAATCAATAGCTACCTTCCTCGTTATCAGCCAATTACATTATACTTGTATTCTCCACTGCAGCGGTATTTTGGCCTAGGGTTTGGCGATAGATGAACGTGTAGGGTGTGTGGTCAGTTCTAAGTCGATGTAATTGATAATTAATTCTTTCGGGTTACATCTGAAGCTCTGGCGAGTATGGAGTTGCTTTGCCTTTCAGGGTGCTTAAGATTTGTGACTTGCTTCAATTATAAGAGTTTGTGCATGACGAATGATTAACTAAATTCTTTTGCCATATTGATATCCCTCGTGCACTGGATAGATGGTCATGTACTAGATCACTTGTTCATTCTCCCTCGATTTCCCCCATCTCACACATTGTAGTGTGTCTGTGATTGTTGTGCCTGTGGTGATTCATAAAAATAATGATTCTGACTGACAAATGCATGGGGATATTGTCATGATTTTCCCTTCGCCTTCGTTTTCTTGTGATTCAATTCAATTAGGTGGTTGCAATTATTTACATTACCGTCTTTTCGTTTGCTTATAAGTTATAATTCAGCCACGTCTATTGAAATATTTGGAAATCGTTATTACAAATGCTTTTATGGAGCCACCCCCACACGTGTTGTAAATTTTGAGATTATCAAATGCACACTAGGTTTGGCAATCGACAAACATTTGTGTCCGAAGTAATCCCCATATCAATATCCTTTAAGTATCTGTACACGTGTATTCGGAATTATTACTTATATTTAGTTAAATGAAATTTTAATATGATTTTCTAACAAATTAGTAAAACAATAGATATCTTTTCAATATTAAAATTAATTATAAGAATGAACAAAAACTATTAATTAAATGTGTAATACTTGAGTAAAAAATAATTCAAATATTTTCTCAATCTCAATTATAAAATATATCTAATATTTTTAAGTCAATAAGTAATCATGTTTGAATGTAATGACATTTCAGAATTTATTTCTTTTTTCATTGTGAAAAAGAGTTTGTCATTATTTAGTATTTTTATTTTTAAAATTCTTAAATTGTTAATGGTTTTTAAATTTTATTTATGTTAAAATTTCTTTTTTATTCGCTCTCAAATCCAATTTTTAACTAATTTTATTTTTTTTATAATGAAATTTTGTTGGTTTTGAATTGTAACGAGTGTTGTTCTCAAATTAAGTCTTTTCATTTTTTCCTCTAGATCTAGTATTTTTCCTTAGATATTATCTACTTTTTTTTTTCTTTTTATTTCGTAGCTTTTTTGGTTTATATTTTAAAATTTTAGTTTAATTAAAAATATTGATAAAAAAATAAAATATAGCAGCTATGTAATCATTCAATTTTGACCATTCACCAATAAGACCTAGAAAGCTTTACAAATTTCATATTAAATAGTTAGTATAAAGCCTTTCAGTATCGAAGAAAAATGAGAATCATGTATCAGATACAGTGTAGGAAAGAAAGAGAAACAAATATAGAAAGATGAATAAAAGAAATAAAATGAAGACAATATTAAAATATGCAAGTTCAGTTGAAATAGTTTAGAAATTAAAAAGACCTCTCAAGTCTTTTGGTGTGGTGATGTGATTGAAATCATATTTATTATCCGAAAATGATCGAAAAAAGGAATTACTATTACTAGTATAAAGAAGATAAATGTTGAAAAAGAAAAGATTCAGTCGAAAAGATAGGAAAAGAAATTTCTCCTCCAAAATACTTTTTAAGTTACTAATTGTTATACGTAATTTTTGACATACTCGAAAGTAACTGCTCAGAGAAATTAGAAAAATGTCTGGAAGTCTAGGGTGATAAAAGTCAGTTTTCGATTATATTAGAAATTTAGAAGTAAAGGTAGTTATTGACATTTTTTAAGAAGTTATTGGATGATTGTACATGTGTATGGTTTATACTAATTAATCATTGTAGTATTTTTCTTTAAATACTTAAATCACATGTTTGTTAAGGATTAGAAACACTTTATATGAGTTTATTCTCTATACCATTGAATCTACTTTCATTAATGACTTTTGGAACAAGTGTTTGAATTTTTGTACCACTTTTCTTTCATTAATGACTTTTGGAACAAGTGTTAGAATCACCTGGCATGTAATACATTTTATTTTTATTTTTTGTCTTGTTACAATTTCTTAATCCATATGATTTCTTCGATTGAAATATATAGTGATTGACTGATCACTATTAAAATTAATCTAATTGAACCAACTTTCATGATAGTAATTAAATTATTCATAAAAATCATAATTTATTAATGAAACGTATTTATCTCTAAAAACATACTTGAGTTGAAAACGAATAGATGGTTAGTTCCTATCCTATATAAAGAATTCAGGTTAACGAAATTCACCAAAAACACTGATATAAGTTTAAATTGAAGTGTATTTTGGGGATTAAATTGAAGAGTTGAGTTCTACCAAGACTTACCGACTTACCATTAAAACTATCCAAAAGGTATTTTCACTGTCAGCAGACGCTACATTGGTTTTTGCGGTATATGCCGAAGAAAACACGCAGTGCCATATTACTTTTCTCGCTCGCAAGAGTTACAGGAACATGATTCTTTGACACGATTCCATGCTTGCTAGCATTTCTAATTTATCATGGAAACATGGCAGCTATACTGTCCCATGCTAAACAAATTTGGGTGTGTTGAACAATTGATATATTTGCGATTCCATTGTGAGAGGTGGCAAGTGTAAGAATTCTCATTCAGTCCAAAAATCGTGAGATATTTACAGCTACTATGTTAGTAACGCACAAATCATTAGCCAAACAACTACATAACAGTCTAAAACTTGCACTGACCAATAGCCAGTGGCAGTGTGATATGAACACCAACAATAACATATATAAAATCACCATCTTTCATCCTCTATCCAATTATTCTTCTCTTTTGGCCCAGTGGGACCTTCCTCACCATAAAGTTCCACTGGAAACTTGTTAAATAAGTTCCTAACCGGATATTTAAGTATGCGAGGAAGAGCATTGATTACCTTATCCAGCTCAGTTTTTCTATCATAAACAATTTTGGGGCCCCACTCTCTCATAAACTGCAACCATTGAGGCTCAGTGACATCATTTTTAAGATACTCAGCTGCAACAAGCTCATAGTGAATACTAGAATCCACATACAAATTACTGCGAGCAGCATCATTCCTAATTCCAATCCCAAGTTTTGGAGAACCTTGGATACATGTTCCCGGACGAGGGTAACTTGCATGTCCAAATTTTGATGAGTAAACAATAGCTTTATTGCCTCCAATATAGTCCAAGTCATATGCATCCACCCATTCACCTCCACTGTGCTGAGAGAAGTATATGCTATATAGTTCTCCACTGAAATTGCATATACGAAGTGTAAAATGCTCCCAGTCACCAACATGTTCTCCAATCTTGCTCATTGTTACATTCTTAATTCCAATTTTCAGAGTGGCTGGCCCATTGAAAGGGCAAAACACCCACATTGCAATGTCATTAAAAGTTCCACCAAGTGCTGGCTTCACATGAACATAAAGCCTTGCACTCTTCAAGTCCCCACGTTTCACAAAATCCCTTCGACCATCACTTGGCAAGTCTATCCAAAACTTCCCATCATTTGATCCCCCAGTTGGTAGATTTGAGCCATTTGCATCAATTTCCTCTCCTTTAGACACACCCTTTGTGTACAACATGGCTCCATTTTTAAAAAACCAATCCACAGAAGATGGCAAGTAAGTTTCATCAGGATGAAAGAAAACAGTAGGGCCATAATGGTTAATAAGTGCATGTATTTGCTGCAAATTTGGCATTGCTGGTAGCACATGATTTAGGTTCTTCAAGCATGCAACAGGAAGCTCTTCTCTCATGTTCAAGCCATTGCTGCAGAAAAATGTCCCAACAGAAACTCCTTTCCCTATCATGCCACGATCACAAGGTCTCAAACTCCAAACCTGAAATGAAAACTCTCGATTTCTAGAACCAACAGTGAGTATTTGGCGGTATGTTTGACACTTATCAGTGAGGTCAGAACGAACACAGCACATTTCATCCAACAAAGGCTTGTCAGGGTTGTTTTTTACCAAGTAGCCAAGAGCATTGTAACCTTCAGGAGGTTCAGGTAGCCAAAAGTATACACCTGGCATTTCCATTCTTCCTGAATATTGATTCCAAACTAACTTAAAATCACGGGGATTCTTCAGAGGAGGTAACTTATCTTGGTTGCAAATATCGTCAGCAGTTTTGGGCATGCAAGTTTCCACTTCCCTTGCAACAAGTACAAAACCATGTAAAGGCTTGTCAACAGGTTGACAATAGTGACCAAGGATATGGAAACTATCAGGTACTCCTACAGGCCTATAGAATGCAACAGCACTTTTTGTATCTGGCAAAAAACTGCTTCTCCAAATAAACTCAAACTTGTTAACCTTGGAAACTTGTATTTCACCAAGATTTACAAATCCGGAAGCAAAACCTTGTCCTGTAATGAAATAAACAATATAAATTAGTTTAGAGAGGTAACTTAATGTTCTTTTCTCAAAATGCTACGTGGCATTGAGACTGCAATGTTATGCGAGCACAACACTAGTCATGGATGATACCACACCAATCTATCAGAACCGAAACATGGCATGGAAATAAATGATAATCCGGAAAGGAATGAGAATGAGAGAAAGCAATTTCATCAACTTTGCATAGGAAGACAGACAAAGGGAATTTGCATGGAGGATGAAAAAAGGAGATGCATTGTTGCCCTCAAAAGCAAAATAATAAAAATAAAAATGCATATTACTATGATATGATGAAAAATTTAGTGATATGAAAGAAAAGGGACATAAATTGACACCTTGAGGCCATTGAGGAATTGGAGCCGGAAGAGAAAAGGTTTGAGGGGAAGACGATTGAGCGATTGTATATGTAATTTCCATCAAGCGCATGCGCAGAGCTCAGTTTACAAAATCATTTTACGATTTTTGTTTAAAGATTCGTAAATAATAACGTGCAGTGCATGTGCATGGCCTTTTCTCACCCACCGAAAAACATTGCATGGCTCTTGCAAACAAAAGGATAAAAGGTACATGAATATTAATGATAGAATATTTGATTTTGGGGCAAAAGCAGATTTCTTCATCAATGCAATACGGAAGCAAGCTCAATTTTTATTATGAACATAATTTGATGTTATGTTTTTGATATGCAATGGCTGTTGAAATATGGGCTTTAATTTTCACAGTGACACCTCTTTTCCTCTTTCCATTTCCCAGGTTTTCTTTTCTTTCATTGTATCCTTTCATCGAGTAAATGATATTTTGGTCTATCAATTTGGAAGGGTGAAAAGATGAAAAAGGTAAGTGTCGAAATTAAAATCCTTAAAATATAATGATAAGGTTATTATATATATCTGAATTAGTCGGGAATTAGTTCTTTTTAAAGATAGTTGCAGAGATTATAGTTTACCGACTATTTATTGATGTGTTGGACTTCATTAATTGAAATATAAGAAATTTTTAATAATCAAAGGAATAAAACAAAATTATTGTTTCATTGTGTGGATATTTTTCGTGATGGAACGGAAAAAATATTATTCCTAATTAAAAGAAAAGAAAAGCAAAAAAAAAATAATCAAATTCATTCCATTACAATTTCAATAGTTTAAAAAATAAAATATAATATACTTCATTTTTTTATGTCAATTCATATTTTCCATCAATAAATTATTCGTAATCTAGTTCAATATAAATGACAGGGTAAAACTTTTCAACCATACAAACTTCAAATTTTAAATACTATTTGTTGGTACCGGAAAATGAATTCGGAGGCACTCGAAATACAGAGGTGCTTTAAATCCTAGGTGATCGGAAAAAGGCAAAGAAGTTTCTGAGGAAGGACACGAAGACACTTTTCGTGAAACTCTCGAAATCATTGTACCAGGAAGGACATGAAGACACTTTTCGAGAAACTCTCGAAATCATTGTACCAGGAAGGACACGAAGACACTTTTCGAGAAACGCTCGAAATTATTGAACTAGGAAGGACGCTGTTCAAGAGAAAGGCTCACAGTCTCGCAACCTCTCAAAGTACAAGAAAAATCAGGAAACACTCGAGTAGTATATTTTTCGTTGGTAACTCGAAATCCCAAGAATCCGGACATACACGAACACACTTCGCAACCTCTCAGAATGAAGAACTTAAAAGAGACACGATTTAAGAGCGGTTGAAGTAAATCATGGGATAAGTGTCAAAGGCTGCAGAACGGTTTGGGGAAGTTAATGAGCAGTTCCAAGAGTTATCCAAAGACGTGCCCGGGAATAAGCCACGAGGTCGAGGTGGAAGTTTAGAACGGTTATGCACTTCCGGGGCACGTCAGAAACAGTTACCTTTCCCAAATCTTTGTCTATAAATTAAACGAGCCATGCTCGTAGCAGGGGGTCGAAAATCTAATTCCCACAATACCTCACATGCACTCCGCAGCCTGTGCATAAGGCATACTGTGCGTACGAGACAGCTTTGGGTACGATTTCTCGACCACCTTTCTTTTTCCTTTTTTAGGAGTAGCATAACATAGCGTAGCATAGCATAATCTAGTCTAGTGTAGTGTAGTCATTCTAAACACGTTTCGTTACCCTTACGAATTGTAATTCTGTTACCATTTAATGAAAACTCTATTTCTTACTTGTACGATTTTATTTTTTTCACTGAAAGTCTTTAATTCTGTCATGTCACGAACACGCATAAATTGAAACGTGAAATCGTGCTAGTTCGAATAAAAAGGATCCATATAACATATTCCACCGTAAACACTATTATTTTCTTCGTTTTCTTGATTATTACATCATGAAGGTTTCACTATTTGTTTAGATTAACCAAATCCTGAAACTTTTCCAATTAATAGAATTACAAACTCGACAAAGTTCAAGCCAAACTCTTGTACGAAATTTCGTAGAAAGAGTCGCATGGCGGAATAGATGCAGGATTAACTCAAAGACAAGGCTGTAAAACTCGGAACTTTAGGCACACAAAAAAATATTTACCATTATTTATAAACTAAAAGTCCAACAAATAGCTTCATCATCTAAAAAAATATGTATCCCTCAATAAAAATTCAGGTCTCATTCATTGTTTAGCCCACCCCGTACAGATGTAAGATAGTTAGATTACAGGATTGAGTGCAGTAGGTGACAAAACAATGCATAATTAGAAATTAAATTAAATAACACACCAAGCGACGGTTGAACCTTTTAGGTGACAAAAGAATACACAATTTTGGTTTTTTTACTTCACGGGCAAAACGGAAAAATATAAGGAAAAAAAAATGAACTGATTTTAAAATTATATCGAACGGATCAAAATCCTTTCCCACAATGAGAGACTTACAAGTCTCCCCCACCCCGTAATCTTTCAACTTTCAACTATGAAACGTTGTTCATTGACCCTCGTGTTTTGGATGAGAAAGAGACCCAAAATGCAACACATTTGATAGCCTAAAATATTACTAGTAAAAGCATAATGATCCACTTCATTGCAGAAAACCAACCAATATGCGAGGTAGCTAGTACCATAGTTAAGGTGGTCAAAGTTCATTAACAAGTTTGTGAATTTAACTAGGACCACAAATTAAAAGCAAATCTACAGTGAGATATTCAACCTCGTGTCACCAATACAAGCATTGCATCCAATAGATACAATATAGAAACTTTGTTCGGTTTTTAAATGCTAATATCTACCTTAAATGAATACCAAACCAGGGATTAAAGCACTCTGCAATGTCCAAGGTCCACGTTGTCCGCATAGCATTTGAAGCTCACCAAGTGAAAACATCCAAGTCTTTGAGCTCATCAGAGTTTAAGGATTTAAAGGCGCAAGTTGCACAGTAATCATCAAGCTTAAGCATTATTAGCATTTGGTTCAGAATTTGTTTCTGAGGATTTAACGCCTCCAAAAGTTTCCATGTCAATGGTCATTTCATCACCCACATCAGCCTCAGTCATTACTACATCTTTGTAAGACACTAGAGGCTCAATGCCATTTTGAGCAGTATCGGATTGCTGCTTCTGCTTTTCAATTGTCTTCTCTTGGTCATCTGGCTCTTTTGCTGTAGCTTGTGGGTATGGCTCAGTGCAGATTGATAATGTAGATGTAACTAATAAGTTCTACAGAGACAAACACCAGACAGAAATCAAGCAAATTGTTTAAATAAACTATCTGTAACTTAAGTGGCAATGATAAAAATGAACGAGTAACCATTTATAAATACAAGATTTTAAAAATTAGTTAGTTCTAAAAATAACAAATTTAGACAGCAGTGCACATGCCAAATTATGAAGCATACCTTTTCAAGAGCTAAAGCAAGCTTTGAAAGATTTGGATAAATGTTTTTTGCATCCAATAGGATCTGTTGAATGCAATATCATACAAAGTAACATTAAATATGATGTTAGCATGTTAAACTCGACGGATATTGATTCCAGAATATAATAATGCCCAGCAGACAAAAGAAATAAATTTACCTCACAAAGCCTTTGCAATGTAAATGGAGGGCCTTCAATGAAACAAGTAAGTGCTGGAATCCATAAAAGCAAATCAAAATATTATAGTGGAGCATATTAAACCCTCGCCCCCTCCCCTCAAAAAAAAAAAACAAAAAAAAAATGCAATAAAAAGGGATGATCTTGTTATTCACCACTTGCTGTATTCTTCAAATTAAATGGGGCCAGATTGAGTCTATGAAATTAACTACACAAGCATTGCTCTAGCAGTTATATGGCTATAGCTTTTTGAGACCACATCATTATGACTACCTTTGGTTTAAAAACCATATCAGGTGGATATCAAACCAATGCTCAATGCAACTAATGTTATTGCTTACATGTTTCTCTTAGAGATACTCTCCTAAACCTTTGGTTTCTTTAGGAGTGAATTAATCTCCAGATAGACACGTAGGCAAATTCAAAATTACCAAGGAATTGAACACATGGTTTTAAATAAATGACATTATCTGTTAACATAGAGCATTGTCTGAAAATTTTGTTAAAACAAAACATTCAATTTAAGGAGGAAAGAAAAGCCTTAACATTAATCATTTGTATACATCAACTAATCTGTGTAATATGCATAATTAGACATTCAGAAATATATGTACACACACTTGTAGCTATGGCCAATATACTGCCTTAATTGGTCAGTCCAGTTTGACCATGAACTAGACTGGTCAAAACTAAAATTAGCAACAGACCAGATAAACTGTATGTATTGACCAAAGTTTCAGAACTTATTTACCATAAAATGCACCAAAAAGGAGAACTGAGTATCAAACGTGGATCCCATAGCTTTGAACAGGAAACTTCAACTACCAGACCATTGGTACTTTGAGTTTAACAATATTATATTATCTATTCTTATATTTTTTTGTTGTTAGATATTGGAATATCTCTAAGATTTATATTCCCAAAATTATTTCATCTACAATCTTACTAGTTCTTGTCAAATATTTCCACACATTAATAGAATGATATTGTTATAATTTTCAATATGGATATAACAAAATTAAATTCTCCAAATTAATGATGCTCATAAAAATGGCAACATTTCTAGTTCAAAGTTAGACACACTATACCAAGACAATCTTTATTGGTCAACGAATGGTTTGGACTTTAGAACCTTGGCTACAGGACTATTTGTTAGGATACCTTCATCCAATCTGTTGACCAACTCAATGTAGGATTCTCCCAGTGATGCGTACTGTTGCTCACTTGTCATTTTTGCCTCAGGGTATTCTGACAATACCTGTATAACAAATATGGATAATGCAAAAGATTAGAGTGTAAGAACTATGATGTATGAATAATAAAATTTCAATGTATGCACTGAGAAAAATATCAAAATTGACATGCTAGCATACCTCTAAGAATCAACAAAATATACATAAAAATGCATGCTAGCATACCTCCCCATACCTGCTTCAGCTGAAATGATAGCATACTCTTCAACTTATCCCAGTCATGCCTGTTATTAAAAAATTTAACTATATTAGCCTTTTTAATATACAGATCCATCTCCAAGTAAACTATCAATAAGTTTAGCCATAGTAATCAATTCCAGATAGCAATGCATGACCAACCCCGATGAGGTGGATGCGATACCAAAGATAGCAGATGAGGTGGATGGGGCTACACGCTACACCCTGTGTCAGCAGCACATCATTGAGATGTAGCCGCATCAGTTTAACCTCCAAATTTCCATTTGCAATTGGAAGTCCATTAATGGTGAAACTTAATTGTATCAATTCAAAAAGGGTAGTGTAGTTACAATGGAAAACTGAAAGGATTACACAAACTATTATAAAATCAAAAGATCCATAAGCATATTTAAACCTAGTATCATAAAATAACTAATTCTCAATTTCTCAGAATGACAGACTAGTTTGTTTTCCATGTACAAACATGGTAAAGTCTAAGGAACCAAAACGCACACATAAGTTGCTGACATGAGGTACCAAAACAAGTCAGCACCATAGAAGTGCCTTTATGGTTCAAGCAAGACATGACTTTAGCACGTTATTGATAACAATTAAAGAAAAAACAAATCACAACTCTCAGCCATCTAACTTGCACACTGTGACCAGCAAAGGGACAAAAATAGTCAAATGGTTTAAAGAGTTACTAATTGTGAGTCCACGGTAATCTTAGCTAGGAGCATCTTAGGGTTTTCTATACTGAACATCTTAGTCTTTCCTGTTTACTGCAAATGTTACACCCGAGTAACAAATTTATACAAAAAAAAAAAAAATGCAAAATACTGAAATATTCCTTCTAGTTCTAGGGAACCATTGGCTTCAAGGCTTTAAAACCCTCAAGTACCTCAAAGGCAGCTATAATCACAACCAGAGGCAGACATTCACTGTATTATCTACTAGCATCTTTGTTCTGCATTTCATTGCATCTTATACGCGTCTAAACAAAAGCTACAGATACATTATTTCCAAATTCGACATGATTTAATCCTTATAGAAGCATTCATGACGCGAGTCCCAACATTCGCTACATGATAAAATAATAAATCAAATTCAAACAATCGGAAAACCAACACACTACCAAGTCAAAGCAGGTGCAGCTAATTCTGTCACGAGCATAACTAGTTCAAGGGGAAAAAAATATACACAATAATCATCCCAATCTATCACATCAGCAAGAAGCCTAAGAACAAAAGTTGATACTGCGAATAAGCCGCGTACCAGAACCTCCCGGTGGATCCAATAACTTGTAGAATCTGCACAACCTCTTCCTTAGAAACATCCTGATTTTGCTCAGCGTCTCTACAGAACCAAAGGTCATCGAATTAGGTATATCAGTGATGTCGCAAAGAGGAAATGAGTGAAAGTACAATCACCTGTGGTTCGACGCATCGTTACTGTGCGCATCACTGGAAGGAACCGGAACCGGAACCGGAGGATGCTGCAAATTTTCATGCGATTGCGTCTCCATGAAATGAAACTGCAATAAATCGCGGAACTGATGAATTTCAGTGCGAAGTTGGAAGAATAAACGGTGGGAGATTTAGATAACTGTAGTGTACCTTGACTGCTTTGGCGTCGTGTGGGTCACTGTGACTGTGACTCAGACTCAGCTTTGAGAAGATTCTTTTCGTTTGCAGCCTCCGTCGTCGTCACGGAGGACTGCGTCGGTTGTCTATGCCTTCCTTGGGCTTTCGCTATTTCAATTGGACCAATCCACACACTCGCTCATGGGCCTTATTTAACATGCCAACCAGTAATAGGCCCACCGCACACTAAAAAAATAAGAGATAAAATCATTTAAGTATATTTTTTTTTATAACAGTCGTTTTCAATTTAACCCTATTGTGACGTTTCATTTTAGTTCTTATTATTTTGTTTTTTTTTTTTTTTATCTTTGAAGGAATGCTAATTAATTACATGTGGAAAATGAAAATTATAAGCATTTAAGAAAATATTAATTTAGTAGGAACATGCTTAATAAGCATTTTAGAAATATTTGTTATTGTTGTAGAGCGTAACATTAATTGATATCAGGCATATGATTTGATTTCAAAATAATTGTTTAGTTAAGGACAAAAACAATTACATTCAAAAACAACTTTGACTATATAAAAATTATTTTAGTTCTTATCTCTATATTTATTTTAGATGTATTTGTTGATTTTGTTGTCATATCATAAAACTAATATAAAAATATCATCAAATATAATATTTAAATTGAAAATAGGTGTTAAGTGTAAAACAATATATTTTGTAAATATGTGAGAATCATTTTTAATTTTGTTATTATATTTTATCTTGTATTAACTTTAAAATAAATAAATAAATAACAATGCATAACAAATTAATTTTGTATTTTATTAAAGATTTTTTAACATTTAGAATCTGCACCACTTCTCATCTACATAATGGGATATTTAATTTTTTAAGTTATCACTTACTCTCCTCTAATTTTTATGTATCTTAAATAGACATATATCTCGATCACATGCCTAATAATTTAGAAGCATGCAATTTAATCAATTTCATCTATAAATATCATCATGCATCATCATTCATATCAACAATTCATCGCATTTCAACACTCAACAACTTAGAACATCATATATTACTATATGTTATAAGAGAATTGACATCTATCATTTATAATATGTAATTATCAACTAACATACAACAACTTGACATAATATCGAGTTATGAGGCTAATAACTTAGAAACTCCTTATGAATTCGTATTGGACTGACCTAATTGATTTCTAATCCAACTGTCCCAAAAATTCACTTAACTCTCTAGCTCCCTTTAACCCTAAAATTTTGAAACAAATCATTTAAAAACACATAATTAAATTACAATACCTAAAAAAATAACATTATTACATGTTTCACTTGTTATTTAATCTGTATCTCCTAATTAATGATTGGACTCATTAAAGTTTATAATTTTCATTAAATTGAAACTGTTAATAAAAGTTCTAGTGTATACATTCGTGTTTACTCAAAACACATGCCCACATGATGTGAATTGCCATACAAGAATTGAAAAAATGTCCTTTTGCCCAATTTTTTTATTTTACATAATAGAGTTCAAATATATTTTGTCAAAAAAAAGAAAATTCAAATATCTTGCACTCACGTATACCAGCACATATGTTTCTCAAAGAAACCCAAAATTCCTTGATTTTTAACGATATTCGTCCCACCAATGTACATCTATCGTCCATCTTGATCACTTGCTTATTATAAGTAAAACAATGCATAATCTTTTATGTGAACAGAGTTAATCACTATTTAAATATTAGACATTAGATATTTAAGTAACCTGACATTATTAATTATTTTTTATACAAAATTAACCACTTATGTGTGACCTTATAATAATGATGATCACCACTTGTAAACAAAATTAATTATTATTAAATATCTGAATAAACTCATAATATACAATTACGTTTTTATATACAGTTTCAACTACACTTTTTTAAAAATGGATCCTTTGACTTTATGGAAGGAAAATTATGGTAACTTAATGCATTTAAACCGTTGGATTTGTAATAATAGATCAAATTGTGACACGTGTACATTTAAGTCAAAATATATATTGTACACGTGTCACAATCTGATTTATTTTTTATAAATCTAATGTTTAAATACATTAAATTATCGTAACTTTCATTTTTCAAAGTTAAAGAATCTGAATCCCACATTTTTAATGTATAATTACGTTTATTTATTTATAGGTATTTAAAAAAAAAAAATTATCACATTCATGTATAATTTAACCACATATACTAACAAATTACAATATACTTTTTTATGTAGAACCTATATTGCTTTTTTGTTTTGTGCATTTATTTATCTTTTCTTTCTGGTCCGTGACAAAGCAAGTTATGTTAGAGTTTATCGTAATTTGTAAAATGTTAAAATATTGTACTTAATATGAAAATAGGAGTTCAATTATAAATATTGTAGCAATAAATCACTAATATGAAAATAGGGATTCAATTTTAGATATTGTAGCAATACTTCACTGACATAATATCAGTTAGCTCATTCGTTAATACAAATAATTATAATTAATGTATACTGTTATTTATATGATTTTTGTTTATATCAGTGTCAAAATGCAATTAGGACAGAAATGGGACAATTGAGAGGGACTAAATAGGGTAAATGGCATCCCGTCTCACTAATTTCATTCAGCAAGAGGTTTGAATCTATTAGATGCATTTTCCAGGATCAGAAAACACAACTGAAATTGAGGCACCGAAAAATAAAGAATCCATCAAAATGATGAGTTTCTTGCAACAAGTAAAATTACAATAAAAAGATGCATAGTGACTGAGAACAGAAAATATAGGGGCGCCAAACCAAAGGTTTGAACCATATACCATAGATCTACACCTACAGTAATAACCATGAGATTTATTTAGGGAGCGCCTAGTTCCAAGTTTATTCTGTTGTCTATAATTATTCAGCCATCAATCTGAGCTCCATTCTGTGGTAGTACCTGCAGTGCAGTTCTTTTCTTCTCCACTTCCTGCACATGTCGACAGTAAAGAATGTTACTAACAAATCAAACATAACAGTAAAGAATGTTACTACGAAATCAAACATAAATAGTGAAAGAGGGGCCGAATCAGCCTAACCTTAACAGCATTAGTCTTGCTGTTATTTTTTTCATCTAGAGTTAACTGCTTCAGCAACCTCCTCAGTTGGCCGATACTTTTAGTCTTTAGTTCATCAGAGTTCATGTTTTCCTTCATCACGTTGGTGTTGTGAACTTCTCCCTTCAATTGGTCAGAAACAACTGATTGAACTGAAATATCAGTACTCTTCTGCTCATGGATAGAGCCTTCTGTCATAGTCTCACTAGGCTCCTGTTTTGGAATGGTAGTGTCTTCTGAAACAACATCCCCATCAACCAGTGTGTTGGATTCGCAACTCAGCACACCATTTAGGATACTTGCATTATCAGCCTCCAACACAATGTCCTCTACTGCGACAGGTTCCTCAGATTCTTCAGCTTCCAGGTTCTTAGAAGTATTCTTATGGTCCTCTGCTTCTCCATCCAAACCACTTGAAAATGCATTAAGAGCGTCCAACATAACGTGGACTCCTGCAACGGGCTCCACATATTCTTCAGCTTGTGCCTCAGCTTCCAAATTCTCAGAAGAGACATTTTTAACTTCCATGATATCTTTTCCGTCAGCTTCCAAGATAGCTTCTGTCATGTAATTGCCATCAGCAGCTATATCTTCTTCAGTGTTGAACTCCACAGATTCCTTTATGCTTGCTGGAGCCTCATTAACAGGTGACATGTCTTGATCAGAAACATCATCAGGCACCACAACAGTCAAAGTTGCAGCATCTTTGTGAATAACCTGGGCATCATCAGATGCCTCAAAAGGCGAAATGTCTTGGTTGCCTTCAACACCATCCGGCACCCCAACAGTCAAAGTTGCAGCATCTTGGACAGGAACCTTCATATGAGTATCTTCAGATGCCTCAGAAGGAAAAATGTCTTGCATGACACCAATGTTTTCCTTATTTTCTATTTCTAATTCAGACTGAGAAGAATCACTAGATTCCTCAAGTACAGATGTCACTTCAGATCCTACAAAGCCACCAATAAAAATCAATATTTTTTTAGATGGCCTAGTACACTATCATCAATATGAAAGAACTAACCACCATAATTAACTGTTATGAAGTCCGAAAACATACCTTCATCCTCGGAATTGTCATATGTATTAGAACTTCCTTCCAGTTTCAAATTTGAATCTTGTGGTTCAGACTCTTTTTGTGGCTCATTGTTCTTATCTTTTTTATCTTCACCCTCATTGCTGACTTGATCATCCACTTTGAACTCATCAAATTCCTGTAGGCCCGCTGAAGCATAGTTAAAATCTTGATCAGCAACATCTTGATCATCACTCCTATCTTCTTTATCATTACCCTCATTACTGACTTGAACATTCATTTTGCACTCAGCTAACATAGGAAGCGAGCAGGCAACATCTGGTTCAGTAACATTATCTGGAACCACAACAGTCTCGGTATCCATATCTTGGCCAGTACCCTCCTGAATAGCAACTTCGTCAATAGGCAAAGTGTCTTGTCTGGCTCGAAAGCATTCCTTATTTTCAATTTCTACTTCAGAAGAATCACAAGATCCTTCAAGTAGAGGGAGCGATTCAGATCCTGCAAGGTGATCACCATCATACTCAAATCAATATACAAGAGCTAACCACAATTATTAACAACTATTAGAAGAAGGAAAAACAAACCTGCTTCATCAGAACCATGTGGTTCAGCCTCCAACTCCAAGCAATTGACTTTCTCTGGTTCAGCTTCCTCTGAATCAAGTGGTTCAACCACCATATCATTCTCTTCCACAGAAACTATCTTCACATCTGAACCTGAATCATGCGATTGGCATTCATACTCAGACTTATTTTCCATGGAGCAAACTTCCACTTCCTGGGTATCCTCCGAAACCACAGTTGATGCCGTCTGCAAACTAGACCCTGCACAATACACCCTAACAATTTAGTTGGTTATAAAAACAAACAATACAATGAAAATATGAAATCCATAAAGAGAGATCCAATCCAACATACCCTTTTCAGCCTCAAACGAGTCTTCTAATTGCTGAGAGACATTACTGAATTCTTGAGAAGCATCATCATCAATCTTGACAAGTCCAGAGTCCACCAAGCTCATCTTAGACAAGTCCTTCTCCAACAACCTAACCGATCTCCTCGTGTTATATGCCTTCTGCATTGAAGTACCACCGGCGGTGCAAACCGACCGGCCAGCACCTCTTGCCCTACTCATGGGAGCTGCGGCAGGTGTTTTAGGCAAATCTGATGGCTTCAGCTTTTCCTGAACCTCATTCTTATCGGCATCAGCGTCTTCTTCTACAATCTCAACTTCTTTCTTTCTGCGAGTGGAAACCGCAGTAGCCTTTCTCCTGCTGGGAGCAGGAGTGACAGTGACAGTGACATTAATCACATTGCCATCTTTGTTCTCTTGCTCAACAACTCCTTCAGCTCTAGCCCCGCCGCGATTAGGCCTCGAGGCCTTCTCTGCTTCCTCTCTCGCTGCTTTCCTTTGAGTGGAGGCTCTAGCAGCCGTACGCTGCTGAACACTTGGGGTTCCAACATCACCCTCTATTGGATTCAAAATTTCATCCAATCCTTCAACCTGAAAATGAAACAATTAAAGGAAAATGAGAACCTGACTTCGCAATTTCAAACAAGAATCTCAGTCTTTCAGAATCACCGGGGGAAAATAATAACGACGACCGGTAATATTTCGTGAGAGGAAAAAACCTAAGGAAAATAAAAAGAATCGAACAAAGAAAGAGAGGAAAGGCATTTACCTGGTGGAGAGCAACGAGAGCGTCAGCCATGGCTACATTGGTGATGTTGGCAGGAATCTTGTTCTTCTTGCAGAGAGCCTGGAGCTGCTTCCTTGAGAGGGCGTGGAAATCCATTGGTGAGAGAACAAAAGAAACAAAACAAGTTGTTTTGAGTTTGGAATTTGGAGGAAATAGGAATAGATGCGGCGATGGAGAGACACGAGTGAGTGAAGAGCGGATTCATGGCTGAGGGTATTTATATCTACACTCAGACACGACGTTAGAGAATATGACCGTTAGAGCCTCGTGTTTGAAATTTGAATTTTTGGGCCTAGGTCAAGTTTGGGCCTGGCTTAAATTGGTAAGATGATCAAGGTGAGATCTTACCCTAGTTACCTAGACTCTCTTTGGAAAATTCTTTGTGCTCCAAGATATTCACGCCATCATTTTTAGAACTGATGCACCTATAAACCAGCAACCTAGTGAAGGATAAAGATATATTACTACCTATGCCATTGTCATATTTTCAACATATTAATAGTGTGAATTAATTGATAATTAATGAAAATACAAAGGTAGAATATTTAATATAGTCTATTATTATATTATACTAGTATATTTTAGTAGTATTTATTTTTTTAATTATATTATTGGTATAAAGTATCATCGATTATTAATCTTTGTTAGAGAACATGACTCACTATCTTAAGTGAAATTTCTCCTTTCAATTATGTTTTTTCTATACACAAGACTTGAAATTGAGACCTTATTTTAAAAAAAAATTTAAATTGAGTATTACTTGAGTTAAAAACTTGTTAGTATTTTAATATAAACTATACAGGATAAATAAATATTTATAAAGTTATAATAAATAAATATTTTAAATATAAATAGTATTGCATATTTATAGTAATAATTTAAAACCAATTAAAAAAGTATTTCTCACAATCATATTAAAGACTCAAACTACCCTTCTTTTAATTTATTATTTTTATCAATAATTTTTAAGTTAGACTTAAATAATTTTTTAAAAAATTGTTAATAATTGCAAATAATTATATATCACAATTCAATTTTTTTGTCGCAAGTATAAAATGTAATTTATATATAAAATATTTATTTTATATGAATGTTAGTTATAATATAATTTATGTATTTAGAAAACTTTGATAAACTATACAAACATAAAGCTTTGTGATATTTACACTAATTGGATTGATCTCCTCTCTTTTATTTCAAAGGGACTCTGGATGTTTTATGTTTTCCTCTCTAAACTCTACATTACACACTTCATTCTAAAGAATCTAAACTTTCTCTAGGTACATTTAACGGATGTACACTTCATAATTTGGTCGTCCTCTTAGAATTTTAAAATTGAACTATTAAATATTCTTTATGTTATAATATGTTTATATGTACTAATTTTAACATATTTTATACTACTCACATGATTTTGAAAATTGGACAAAACCAATCGATCAAATTAATTCAAACTAATTTAATTGGTTTAAAAAATCATTTTACATCAAAATCAATGAAAAAAATTACATTAAATATTAAGAATCTATAAATAATATTTTATTTTATTTTTTAGTATTATAATATTATATTTATTTAATATTATTTTTATATTGCTTTTAATAATAATAATTATTATTATTATATTAATATTGATTTAATTTCGGTCTAACCATTGAATCTTGAACTATTGCTTAGATTGGTAGAATGATTGATCTGATTTTAAAAATATTATTAATTGGTTAATTTCTATTTTTAGTTACTCAATTAAATTATTTCATATATATTACTAAGTAATCTTTTAATAATTTATGTAATAATTTCTAATGCAAAGTTTCTCAACAGTTACACATTTATGTAAACTGGAGCTACCAATTTCTAAATGAGGCATCATACTTTTCTTACCTTTGAAACAAGCAGTAAACGATATATAAAAAATTGAATTTCTGCAACATATTTTTATATAAAAAAAAACAATTAAAACAAAAAACTTAACAATATTTAGTTTCTGCAATCTATTAAAAAAAATCAGTTAATATCGTCATACACATCCATGTATGGCGTAGCCGCGGACAAATATGATACTAATCGATATTAATTTTGGAAAAAAAAAATGTTAGGATGAAAGAAAGGGAATAAAATATGAAAAGAAATTGATTAATGCTAAATTGCTAATTATAAGTTATGATTGTATTCTAACATAAGTTTTGAACTGACATTGGCTTCATAGCATAAGGTTGTCACATGTCTCTTTCTTGGGTACTCCCTACTAGAAAAGGGTACATGTTTTACTCTCTGATCACTGAAAAATTTTACACTTTTATGGACTTAAATATGCAAGAATGTAGTTTTCGGCTTGCTTCCTTGATTCAATTTGAAATTGTGCCCATCAATGAAACATCTTCCTCCCAAGTAGCCCTAGGAAATGTGCCCAATATAGACACACAAACTGTATCACCTATTTCTCACCCAAATCTGCCCAATACAGAAACAGCAACCGAGTCACTTATTTCCTAAACTCTCCTTGAAATTGAGCCGAATATTGGAATTGTTTCAAAATCCCTATTCCTCACAGTACATAACTTGCACGTAAAAATGAGCTTAAGAGCCTAAGAATGTATTTAGATGAGAAATTTTAAGAGTGATTCATTTGTTTTGGTAAATTTAAAATGTTTTGATGTGAAATAGAAGACAACGTCAAAACAATAATTACTAAAATGATTTTACAAAAAATTATTCACTTGATTGATTTTTTATTTTGGTAGAATGCATTTGAAAGGAATTTATGCATGCTGGCATTCGATCCTCATTAACTTAAAGTGTTGTTTCTTATAAACAAAATAAAATTTAGCAATGTATAAGAATTTAAGCCTGTAAATCTATCTCAGTATCACCATTATAACATAAAGCTTAGGAAAGCAACAAGGCAAATTTTTAAGGCAAACTAAACCAAATCTCTGAGAATCATAAACGAACCAGAGCTACCAAATTCTAAAATGAGATATTGAGCATTTTGAGTTTCTATAATATAAATTAAAATGTAAACTTTGGACTTCCGCAGATTTTTCCGCTAAAAAGCATCAAGATAGAAATAGCAATCCACTAGATTCCATCAATATTAGAACTAATAAATCAATAACTAGCTAGTTGCGATTCTCAGGAAACCAAGATCCGGCAAATGTACAGTTACACAAGTTACAAGACAGCTAAATAATTTCATGTACCTTTTATTTATCTAGATTAGATACATGATGAATAGGGAACTATACAGCATATTAATCCTTAAAATGCTGACAATAAATGAATAGGACTTCCCTATGTTGGAAACAAGACATGCCTAATATACTGTGCTACAACTGTAAGATTATTGTTCCCATATAACAATGTACATGTAACCTATGAATTTCTCTCCACACCAGTATTCAGCAAAGCCGCATTACTAGCTGTTTTCAATGGAGGCCTATTAATCTTCTCAAGTAATCTACTAAATACTAACTGGACTGGTATGCAAGCTACTGTAGGGGGCCCAGAGATTTCTGGTTTAATCAATCTATCTGTTTGATAACTACTGCTATCATGTAATGGCTTTCTACTAAGACTATGTTCAGTAGATAATGAGGACAGAGTTCTAGTTTTTTGGCTAGATGACAAGCTCAATTTCTTTGGCACCTTTTTTAATGACTTTTTGTCAGCTAAAGACCGATGACTTTTAAGGCCACTCTTCTTTCGAAGACTAGCCTGGTGACTGCAATTTCCGGTGTTTAAACTTTTATAGTCAAAGCTTTGTTCTTGATCTGAAGAGGGAAACTCTCCAGCAACTTCAGCACCATTTGATGATAGCACATGGGGACGTGGGACGCGAAAATTTGCAGTTCTCCTTGCAGTCCTCCAAGCTGGTGGAAGCACACTACTTCCCTCAAAACCAGTCCCATCATTATTGAAATCATCAATTGCAGGAAATAGAATATCAGATGAACCATCCTTGAGAGCTTCAACCTGGATTGGGTGCCCTACTATTGCCCTCCCATCTAATTTACTCATGAGAGAAATGAAGGGTACATGCTCTTTCCGATAGCTTGCCTGAACCTTCAAATCTACATTAACCAGCATAGGCCTCACCCTCCCACCAAAATGATAACGATCACCATACATTGGAGAATATGCTTTAGCATCTCCATATCCTTTGGAAACAAGATGATCATCCCAGGCCCAATCATTCCAAGCTACACCACGATGAAATTTACTTTGACCTTTTGATATAGATTTAGGAGTTAGAGAGTATTCATCTTCCGGTCCAAAAGTTTGATCATCATCGTCAAAAGTATCACCAAAATCAAATTTGTAGCGGTGCAAACTTGGACCCATTTTATTGTGCCTTAAATGACTACTCCTTCCTTCAGCATCTGCTTCTGTTCCATACACAATACATTTTCCATCAGAAGCACCAACAGACCTCTTTACAAGATTCCGATTGTTTCTTTTGCCTTTCAGTTGCCATTTAGACACAGCTTCATTATTTGTTATTACGTCACGAGGATAGAGGTGAGGCATGTCACTGGAAATTGCTAATTCATCAAGCTCCTCACTGCTAGTGTTTTCGTGTTCTTCAGCATCATGACCAGTTTCTGCAGTTATAGGAACATCCTGAGTAAAGCCATGAAGGATCACGTGAAAGAAAGCTAAAACAAAAATTCAAAACACAAAATGAAACCTTAGTGCTTATCAAGAATGAGGCTATGAATCCTTAGTGCCCCCACACAAATTGGAACTGACTCAAAATCACATTACATAAAACCAGTCATAACTAAAATATGCATGATGTGACAATTCATTCTCTATCCCTCATCCTAAACTTCAGTCCTAAACCTTAGCAAATCGTATTGTTCATATAGTGCATTTTTATCCATCATACATGTGCAGTTAAAAGTACAGTATTTTCTTAAACGGGTAGGAGATCTAAGAATCCTTTGATTACATTCTTACAGCAGATTGACCAATCAAAGGTAGGAATAATGGGATTATAATTTTTATTTTGGCAATAAATATAGGCCAGAAAATCATTTATCGGTTTCATTAGAAGAGATGAAAAGAGAAAACAGAGAGGGGGATCTTAGAGGATGAGGTTTGTCATCTTGACTTGGCTGATTCTAAGCCATTTACCATGATACAATCACCAGCACGAGTTGCAAATTAATAAACCAAGTAAAATATGGAATGATAGAGGAATGCAGAAAGGAATAACAAGTAACAACTACTTTCAGAGGTTGAGATAATGACTTGCATATCCATACAATCATGCCACACAAATAAGTAACTGACTAACAACTATGTTCACTACCACTACAAGAAGCCAAGAAACATAATTAAGTGTAAGAGAGGTGAAATCACTAAATAAAAGATACTAGCATAATAGACAGACATGGCAGTTTTTCGTTTAACTTTTTTCTTTGGGTGTAGCAAATAGATCATATCATCGTACCGCTAAGATAGTAAGATAAGGATAGTATAAGAATGACAGAAACTTAACCTGAAAATATAGTCATATCCTCATCTAAGTCTGGTTCTGTCTCAGAAGAATCGGAATCAGAATCAGTAGAAGCTGTTTCTGAAGAATCAGATTCAACATCATCCATAAAAGTATATTCAGTCTCTCCAACCAAAGAACCATGATAAGGAAACTCCTTTCTGCGTTGGGAAGACGACATCTCCGCACGGGGTAGAGTCTCTCTATAATCAAGAGAATCACTAGACTCAGGCTGAAAATACACACATCTGCTCCTCTTAGCTCGGGAAGATCCTACGTGACCAGCTCCTGAAAACAGAACCACAGTCAGATTACTTTCACAACAAAATTAGACTACTTTATATGCTTCTTCTAAAACACTTCTCACTCAATCTCTCATTCTCTTATCTAGAGAACTTTACCATTCATGTGAACACCACCACTTGAAAGACCCCGAGCTCCATCGTCAACGCCAAATTTCGGATCAAGAGAAGTCGAATACTTCCTCTTGGCGGGGGCAATTCTGAGCCCAAAATCCTGCAAGTCTCTCATCCGAGGAGTTGTTTCACAGTAATCCACTTCCCCACGCAGGTGATTCACATCCCTGGCCACCTCAGAATGAAAGTGACTTCCAGCAGCCTCATTCTCACAGTAAATATACGAATTTGAATTTGCACACTTTTCATAATCATTCCCCAGCGTCTCCGGTGACGACGACGTAACTGCGCCTTTTCTAACAGTATTCAACGATCTAGCACCTGGTTTCCCTTGCTTCTTCAAAATCTGTTTCTCGAGCTCAAGAGCGTGAAGAATGGCGTCTTCTCGCCTCGCATACTTCTCTCGTTTCTTCAACGGTCCTCCCTGAGAGGACTCAGCCTTTTCGATGCAATCATCAAACTCGCCGCATCGGAATGCCTTAACGCGCTTAGATTTCTCCAAATTGTACCAATCCCTGCGAAGAGATAAAAAACAACAGAAAACTGTTAAAAATGTTAATAGACGCATATGCATTGAACACAGAACAACGAAACTTGATAAAGGAACAAGAACTTACACACTGGCGTCCTCTCTGCCGAGGAGTTTGACGGGGGTTCCGGATCGGGGCGAGGTGAGGTGAGAGGCGGAGAGGTCGTCGGGGCCGAGAATTTGGCCGGGCCACCAGGAGCCGTTCCGCCGGCGCACCCACACGATGGATCCAACGCCGCAATCCATCACTCGCTGCCGCGGCCAACCGATGAGCGCAGGATCCAAGAACCGTCGTGAATGGAGGATCCGAATAGGGCGAGATGGGTTAGGGCAAATGTTCCCATTCAGATTTGGGGAAATTTCATTATTTTGGGGCTTCAATTTTAATCTTCCAATCCCTTGTTTTTTATCCCCAATACTCTATACTCTGTATTTTGGACTCGATGTAGGGATTCTTCTCTTTAGTTGATTTGGGTAATTTCACAACTCTATCTTACAAGACTTTATTACTTATTATTATGCATTTTATACTCGAATTTTCCGTATCCTTTTACTACTTTATTTTAATTTTTTAAGTTAATTTATATATATTAAGAAAAAAAACTGAGTGCATTAATTAGTATGATAAAAATAAGAATAATTTTAATTTTTCATGAAACTATATAATTAATTCTTGTATTTAATAGTAAAAAATATTTAATTTTTAATCCAAACACTTTTTGTACTAAATTATTAATGACATTAAATGGATTTAATTTTCATTTAACATTTTCTTCATATAATATAAAAAAAATCATAAAAATATGTTTACTTCTTAAAAATAAATAAATAAAAAATAATCAACTTATATATATTAAATATGAACATTTATCTTGCGTTATAATATTTTTAAGATTTTTTCTTATAATGTGTTTAAAACCAATTGAGTTAAATTCAATTGGAGTTGAAAGAAAAAAAAAACTATACTCACAAACTTTTATTTTCTATATATTGAAATGTGTGTTTTTTTTATTGAAATTAATTTCAAACTAGTCTTTAAATACATACTTAGAGGGTTTGTAAAAAAAATAACCTCTTGACTAATAAGATTTTTATTTATTATAATTATTTATAAATTAAATATTAATATTTTAAAATAAAATATGAATAAATAATTTTTTTTACTAAAATATTAATTATATACCATAAATCTAAAATGTTTAAAAACATTTATGTATATTAATTTTAAATACAATTTATATATTTAAACATGGTATTTATTCATATATAAATTTATTATAATTTTTAATTATATGTAATAAGTATATTTATGTATTGTACAAACTAAAATACTAATAATGATGTAAATTTGTAAGTTAAAATTAATTTAGAATAAATTACATTCTCCTCTCCTTAAAGACACCAATATAACATTACTCCCCCTTTATGTTAAAAATTACTATTTTCTCTTTTGGTAGATTATTTGACCTCTTTTTATTTTTTTTTTATTTTTTGCTATGAAAAAATATTACTATTTTTTTTACACTAATATCTACTCAAAGTTGTAAAAATTACATTGCCCTCCTTCTTATTTTTTTTATTAAAACAAACATTTATATGGATAAAAGATAAATACTAAGAGTGATAGAATAGTGTGTGTAAAAAACTCATTTTTTTTTTTACAGTGAAGTAATAATTATAGTCAAATGAAACCCAAAGAATTAGATATTTTTATATTAATTTGTTTCAATCATTAAATTTACATCTAATTATCAATCTAATCAGATTAGGTTCCGTTAGCTTTAAACAAATATACAAATATTCATTCAACAAGTCACTTTTTGGTTCAACCTTAAATATTATTTGACTTGCCTTTCAAAGCAACTGTCTAAATATTCTTTTAACAAGCTTCTATAAGCTTAACAACTCTGTATTCTTTTATAGTAAAGTCTCTCAAAGCTCATAACGAGTATTATTTTTTTATATAGGTTATGAAGGTTACACAAGTGTTGTATTTATCTCACTTAGACATTATACAACCGGTATAGAATAGTGAACATTCATAATAAATAATAAAATTACAATGAGTATTTTTCTATACAAGTGTATCGATATGTTTGTTCTCTTTTTTTTTTTTTAGTTTTGAATTTTCCTATATAATAGCTCAAAGAATATGATTGTTGCAACACTTTGAGCCCAATTTACAAATTTGTTTCATTTGTCTTCATCATCTTTTCTTGTTAAGGCATATAACCATTTGACTCATTTAATGTGAACATTAAATATATTTCACCAAATGATAACTCTTGTCTAATCAAGGAGATTATTTATCAACTTTTCACATTAAACAAAGCTTGCAACAGTAGTGACTTTATATATTTTTCTTCGTGTCTTTAAGGACATTTATCCTTAATTTTGATGAAAAACATGATCTTATTCTCTTTAATAGAATCATGAAATCCAAAATAATATTTTTGTTTAATCAGTTAAAGAAGCTTTTGTCGTTAGTCTATAAAATAGTAAGTATTTAATATATACGAGACAGATTGTATGTTTCATCTGATTTACATCATCTCATAGACGATATGTATCTTAAACTTTGTTTGATAAATATTTTCAAAGACATTTATTGAAGAGGTTTTTGAAGACATTTTATATTATAAAAATATGTTATTTGTTAGCATTAAAACTCTAAACTCAAGGGATGCAATATCGCATTTTGACTTAACAATTTATCTCCTTTAACAAATTCAAATGTTACACTTTAACAACTTATCTTTTAATGCAAAAAAAAAAAAAGAGTTAATTTACATATTTAATTATTATTTTTTAAAATATTATGAATTTTATAAAATGATTTATATTTAAATAAATATTTTAATTATTAAAATAAACTCATTTAAATAGTTCTATCATATATCATTCATGTGTTTTATTCAATGTTATCATTCGTAAATGATAATATAGAATATATTTTTTATTTATAAAAATTACAATAACATAAAATATGACTATAATATATCTATTTAAGTATGTCAATATAATATTTCAAGTGTGTGGTTTAGCGGTAGGGGTTGATCCACCTTTAAGCAAGGTCAGGGGTTCGAATGTGGATATTCCAAGAGGCTTTGGTATTAGATAAGAATGAAAGGGGACACGCACTCAGTTAACGCGGCTACACAAAGAAACTAAATGGGGTCACTTTCTGACTTCACTCACCGACCCTGTGTATCTATGTGCCAATCCCAAACAGCTGTGTTGTTTGTGTGTGTTAACTGTGAAAACGTGTTCTCTTTTGTTCTAACTGTGGCTGTGTTTTTGCTTTTTTTCCTTATATGTGGTAAGTGCTAGCTTAGAGTACTATTTCTTGATGGAGATGGACCTTGATTACGAGGTCATGATGATGTTTCGGTGCACGCTTTAGGATGGTTCTTTCCCACTTCTGTTTCCTTTACTACTAGTGCTACTACTGAACTAAGCTTGGAACATACAAGAAGAAAAGAAAAAGGTTAATTTATCTTTTGTGAGAAAAGATGAGAAGATAAACATTGAAATGCCAAATAATTAGCTTTTGTCACCTAAATGGCTATTGTCAATGACACATTGCGGAAGGAACAATATCTTGGTGTCTCTACTCTATTACAGCTGTCAATCACTCTGAGGTGAGAATTAAGATACCTACATTTGTAGAAAGAAAAAAAAAAAACAAATAAGGGAAAAACAGAAAACGAGGTATTGTGGCATGTTGGTTGATTTTTTTTTTTTTTTAATGTTTCCGCGTATGGTGTTCCAAAAGACAAAAAGAAATGAAGCTTTTAAGAAGGTGGGGATGGGGAAATGATTATTTGCTTGTTCATGAGTGCGAATTTAGGATCATAGTTTACAACTCACATCCCATTTTGCCAAGTAAGAATACAATCATATATTTGATTCGATATGATGCGATTCAAAATATGATATTCTCCTTTGAATTTCATTATTATAATCATTACCAGTTATTTTCTTATAAGGTTTAATATACGTTTTAGTATATGAAATTTTTATAATTTTTTAATTACTTCTTAAATTTTAAAAAATAATTTTTATTTATTTATATTTTTTTTATATATATTCCTTATAACTTATAAAATTTGACCGAATATATCATATTTAAATAGTTCTATCATATATCATTCATGTGTTTTATTCAATGTTATCATTCGTAAATGATAATATAGAATATATTTTTTATTTATAAAAATTACAATAACATAAAATATGACTATAATATATCTATTTAAGTATGTCAATATAATATTTCAAGTGTGTGGTTTAGCGGTAGGGGTTGATCCACCTTTAAGCAAGGTCAGGGGTTCGAATGTGGATATTCCAAGAACGAACAAAAAAAAATTATGTCAATATAAACAATATTTTGTTAAATTTATTTTAAATTTAATTATATATTTTATAATGAACTAAAAAAATTTCACATATATTTCAATCAAAAGTATATTTTGAAATCTTATAATTAATTTTTTTCGGATGTTAAGTTTTTTTTAAAACTCAACCAACTTAACTCATTTTATTGATAATATTATAAACTATACAATGTAGAATGTATCTAAAATCATGAAGACTAACAAAAAACTCATAAACTGGATGTTAAGTTAAATGTTATAAATTATATATTTTGATATACTAGGAGGGTTATGATATAATACTTATCTCAAAGGTTTAAGAGTGTAATTTATTTTATATTTTAACAAAACTAATAATTTATTATAATACTTTAATATTTTAAAAGAGGGAGAGTAATTTACTTTATTTACATTAAATTAAATGAACTAAATTGTATATTTTAATATAAAAGGTGAAAACAATGTAATATATTTATCTTTGAAGATGACAAATATATCTATATCTATGGATAATGATAAATATACTCAATTTATTAAACTAGATATAAGGATGAGATAGATATATACTTATTCGCTCATATCCACTCCCGTCCTTGTTTATAATTTATTTGAGATTTATATAATTTTTACTATGTTATAAAATTATGTTAGATGAAACTTAATTAATATAATCTTATAATTATTACTCTATATTTTTTATTATAACTATTATAATTTATATTTTTCATTCAAAGAAATTACAATGGAAAGATATAAAATATCTGTAAAAGAGAAAGAGTTGAATCTTCTTATTAATATATATATATATATATATATATATATATATATATATATATATTAATATTATTGATGTTGTGCATAAAACATATTTATTTATTACAATTATAAAGTTAAAAAAAATTATATCTTTTTTCAATTACATTCATATCTTCTCTCTTCTTTTTCATTTCATGTTAAATCACGACTTCCAAATGTATGATAAATCATTTTGCTCAGGTCATACGTCATAAATCATAGTTAGTAAAACTGAATCACATTAATTTCACAGATAACCATAAGAAAAATAAATAGAAACCGAAAAGAATAAAACTCAAGGAAAATGAAAAAGATTATTTAAAAAATATATTTATAATTAGCATAGGTTGCATTTGTTGAGATGACGTGAATAACATCCATCCACTAAAATTTTGATAAAAATTAAAGGATTAGTAAATTACAAAAGAGTAATTTAATTTTACGACAATGCGTCAAATTAACAAAACATAGTTCAGATTTATAAATTACAAAAACATTAGTTCAACAAGTATGGTGCAATAAATTATTTATGATAATAATTTAGTTTTATAAAACTAAACTAGAATATAATTTAGTTTAGTCTTTAAAATAGTTGAATTTAATTAATTATTAATTTAGTTTAATATAATTATTTGAAATACCTTTACTTTTAAATAAATGGTTAAAAACATATTTTGGTCTCTTATAATAATTGTTTGTTTTAATTTAGTCTCACTTTTATTTTTTGTCTCAATTTGGTCCCTCAGAAGTTAATTGGTTTAAATTTGGGACTTCTGTCCAAATTATTTAAACGGAGTTAACTGTTGGCCACGCCACGTAGATGCATACGTGGCCAAATTTTGTGAAAACACCTGGAACCAGAACGGCCCGTTCTGAAACCAAAACGGGTCGTTCTGGATGCACTCTTGGTGTGTTAATTTTGCATCTGAAACGGGTCATTTTAGATGCAAAATAAACACACCACCAGTACACCAGAACGGTCCGTTCTGAAACCAGAACGGGCCGTTCTGGTTGTAGCACGGGTCATTCTAGTTGCAGAACGGACCGTTCTGGATTCATAACGGCCCGTTCCAAGACTGAGAATAGAATATTCTTTATTAATTTTATTAAAAAATATAATAATTTTGAAAAATATTTTTTATGGTTAAAATTTTAAAATTATTTATTTTTATAAAATACAATTGTCTTATAAATAGAGTAAATACTTTTTCTTTTTCTCTTTCTGTCT